AGATGCAGGGGGGTTGGTTTCAAAGATATGGTGGTTACTAAAAGGACTCCGTATAGAAAGTCAGTGAAAGTGTTGATCGAGTTCCGTTCGAGAATGCTTTAGAATTTTTTAGAAGGTTCGAGAACGTTCACGAATGATAACTAATTTTTCTTAGGAGAAGCGAGGATAATCCGGCTAGACTATCAATAAAATTATCAGCGAATATTGACGTATATGAAAAGATATAATTAATTTAAGTGACACTTTTGTGTTTTTATGGTATGATCCGGAAAGGTGGCAAAATGTTCTTGCGTCAGCGGTTGCACTTTAAAACCTCCCTCATTTCTAATAATAATAATAATAATTCGAAGTGGTCTATATTCTGTCGAAACTGCGGATCGCGATTTCGATCTTTTTGGATCTCATCAGCGCGTCGCAGGCAGCTCCGACAGAACACAGACCAACTTTTAGCTGCTGTCGTACTACAGATGGCGTTTATCGCGCCATTTGTGGTGTTTTCTTCCTCATTTCCTATTTAATTTTAATTCTTACAAATAGATGTACAAAAACGTTTTTATCGTAATTGAATTAAAAAAGTAGCGTCGGTTTCTGCAAATACAGATATAAATTACTAAAACACATTCGTTAAAAACACGTGATCACTTGACGAGTCGCTGAAAATCGCGTGCTTATAAATAGTAGATACGTGAATACAGATTGACGTAAAAACCAACAGTTTCGTCAATCACTGATCGCTGACGAAATAGAACATGATTTTTGTGTTTCGTTTTCTATTTGATGATCATAATTTCGAAAAATATTTTTTGATTAGTAAGGTCAGACCGAATGGAACCTTTTTATCTACAAAAGTAAACTTTCAATTTTACAATTCTAATAAGTTTTCATCTACACCAGTGTTTCGTAAACTTTCGGCATCTATAGTTATACCCTTGTATAGTCCTTGCCGAAAATTTCAACTAACAATCAAAATATGTAAATAATCAATGGATTTATTAACAAGTAACGAACTTTTTTCTTATTTTTCTATGTTTGTGAGTCCCACAAAATGCAGCATTCTACAGATGGCGTTCATTGCGCTGTTTTTAGTAATTCTTTCTGTGTTTTGCAACGCTTATTACCCCCTTATAAACCCATTGCCATTGCCCAAAGGGTACTGTACCGCACTTTAAAATAAATGTAAATTAAATTCGTACTTACGGTTGTTTTTTTTATATTACGATTATTATTTTTGTTATAAATTAAATGGGTACGCTCCAAGCACGGCAGTAATGACACACTGTTAACAGCTTCTGATGTTTACTACTATCTGAGACGGAGTTAATCTTTTATAAATTAGATTTAAATCTTATCAATATTTGTCCCCACATATAACGCAGAAACCAAATACATTTCAAGTGTTATTACGAGCGCCTTCACACACGGAAATTTAATTTTACATGTACGCATTTTATGTGGATAATTAACTTTACTTAACTTTTACTGGATAACTAATGAGACTGTCGGACTAATAAAAGAAAGATGTAAATACAAGAGCAGGACAGACGCAGAAGGCCGAAAAAAAAAATAAGGCGATTAAGCGGGAAATAATAATTAAGAAGTGAATAAGGCAGCTAGGGAACAGTGGATTCATATGAGATATAAAGAAGGAAAAGAAAAGTTTCAAGGAAAAACGGAAGAAGCAATGCATCGTAGTAATAATATAAGGAACCAGACAGGGGTCACTTTGATAGAAAATGAGAAATAGGCAGATAGGAGGAAAGAATATATCAAGGACCTGTACCCAGGACAAAAATAAGGAGATGCATTGGAGAAGTAGACAGTGTGGAGATGAGTGAGCTAGGATAGCCCATAACGAGAGACAACGTTAACTTAGTATTAAAAAACTTAAAGAATAATAAGACTGAATACGAAAATTTAAAACATGCAGGACAAGAGGTTAGAGATCGTATGCTTAGGCTAGTTAGTCACATATACGAGACGAGGAAAGTCCCGGAGGACTAAATGGAACGTAGTACTAGTGATTCCAAAATCATTACTGGAATCGTACAGAAAAGAATGAAACAAAGAGGTAGGAGAAGACCAAACTGGATTTAGAAGAAATAGAAGAATGCAGAAGGTCACTTTAGATTTGCGGGTAACAATAGAGAAAATGATAAAAAAAAAAAGAGCGCCTAAATAGAGTAGGCTTTCGATAATTTTAAATGGGACAAGATGTTAATTATGTTTAAAAATATAGGGATGAGATACAGAGATAGAAGGGTGATATATAGTTTGCATAAAGGGCAACAGACAATTATAGAATTTGAACAGCAACGAATAGGAGAAAATACTAGGAAGGTAATCTGTCAAGGATGCACATTGTCACCGCTACTTTTTAATCGATATATCGAAGCCAGGATAAACATCATTAAAGACGAGGACAATTTTAGGGATACATAGGGGCAGAATGCTTAGATTTGCAAGTGATATAACAGCATTGGCATCTAGCAAGGAGGAGTTAGAAATAGCATTAAATAAAATGAAAGCGGTATTGGCAAAATAGTATTGTATGAAAATAAATAATAGTAAAACAAAAACACTGGCATTAAAGGGAGGAAAAAGTAGGGAAAGAGTGAATATAATATAAAGGTAGGAGACGAAGAATTAGAAGAAGTGGTTGATTTTCGATATCTAAGAAGTCAGAAAACTCAGGATGTAAAGAGCAGTAGAGATATAAAATAGAGGATGGTGCAGAATAGAGTCGCCTTTAATTTAATATGCTCGCGAACGGGGGCGCTTTGGAAGTCAAAAAGAAATAGGCGAAATAGGTTGGTAGGACGCCTTCTCAAGCATTAATTTATTTAGAGAGATTAGATGAAGAAAGAGGAGGAGAGATATACCTGGATTAGATTATTGTTCACAAATAGTTAAGGATATTTAAGGATGTGGGATATTATAGTTTTAGGGAAATGCGAAGATTAGCTCAGGATGGAAAAGAATTCAGCTGCATGTCCAATCGGTCTTGCGACTGACAACCTTATGATTATGTTGCAAAGCAAAAGTATCCAAAACGAGATCTTTTGCCGATTATTTTCTTGTTAAGCATAATTGCTAAACTATCAACATAAGGAAATTTTACTTCCTTACCTAGAGATGGTGAAAAATCGCATAAGCACCGGGGGAGGAAATTATCGTGCTATCTGATTCATTTTTTATTAATACATATACCCAGTAATATTATTACGGAACTCAAACCGTTTTGAGTTATAAGGAATTATACAACGGTGTGGTTCATCGTTTGGCCATTGCGTAATGCCCTGCTTGCAATGGGTCATATTCCAAAATTTATTACGATTAGTGACGATAAAATGTAAGATAAAAACAGTAGACTGCAAAAGCAGGCGATGAATAATTTATTACATCTTTTCTACAATCGAATGTCTGCCAGACTGTCTGCCAATACTTTTGTACAGCTCCTATTAATATCTATTACACATACTTTGATCCAATATCGAACAATAGAAAAGAGTAATTTTTGTTGGGTGATGCCTACCATAAAAAACTTATCTTCAGTCTAAATAAAACCCAACATTTGTTATTAATCTACCAACAAAATAGAAATACAACTCTCAATTCTATTATCATTTTAGGCTAATCTGAAGCAATGTTACTACAATTACTATAATAATTAGTATGTTCAAACGATTATTATGTTATTGTTTTGGCTATAAAACATATAGTTATATTTTCAACTCTATCCTGGATCTAGAGGACTTATAGGATCAAAACTTTAGTTAAAAGGAATTATTGTTCGTAACGTTTTGTACCGTATTATTATTAGTACTTCTTCAGACGCTCCTATTACTTTTAACTTCTACTGTACTTCTAATTCTTGTCACACTTCATTCATTTAATTGCAGTAATCAATTCGAAAGGCTTTTTTTCCTAATTCGCTCACTATCATATAACAAACGCTTTTTAAAA